TTCAACAATCTCTTCTCTCTACCTAATGTATGGGACTTGCTTGACATTCTCTTGTTTTGCATCCTTCTTCCTTCCCATCGACTTGCAGCAACGTCGTGCCACCCCCATGCGCCTGCCAGCGTCGCCGCGCATCCGTGGTCGCCGGTCCATAGCCACAGTTTAGCTCCGCGCGCTCGCCGTAGCAGCTCGCCCCACGCGAGCCGGCGAATGAGGCATGCACACACGTACGTATATGTACTTGGTGTGATGTAGCCGTAGGAGCCGGCGACGACGGCCATGGGCGCGGCACACTGGAGCGCCTTGGCGACGCCAAATTCGGCCATGCGCGCCTCCATGTCAGGGTCGAGCAGGATGTTACTGGTGTTGATGTCGTGGCTCCCCTCGATGCACCGTGCCGGTAAACTCGTTCCAGAACAGGTCGATTGCAGCTCGCTCTTCGTATACGCCTTCCAATCATCGAAACGCACCCACACGTGCGGCCGTCCCGCGCCTGGGCACGGGTGTGGCGTCGCTCGCCGCGCGCACGCACGCACCCCACTTTGAGAAGCGCTGCGAACGCCGTCTCAAAGAAATCGCGCGCATCTGTTCCTGTCTTCCCGATGGATATCGGTTATAAGGCAAAGGGTGTTTTGGTCTTTTTTGGTGGTCTTTTTAGAGAGAAGAGATTGTTGAAAATAGTAAATGAGAGAAAATATAAAGAATTTCTTGAATCAAAAGAATTCGTAGCCACAAGATTAAATTTTCAAAGATGTACGAATTGAATGTCAAATGTTAAAAGACGTGCGTATTAAGAGTTAAATATTGAAATTTCCCCTGCCTCACCAGGGCATCGGTTGCTACGACAATTGAACATCAATTACAAATTATATACCAACGTTAGCGGTAAAGGTTTTATACGTTCGTATCATCTCTCTCTCTCTCTCTCTCTCTCTCTCTCTCTCTCTCTCTCTCTATATATATATATATATATATATATATATATAAAACTGAACACAGCAGCCTTCCGAGCATAAAAAAAAAGCACGCTCTTCGAATCCGCCTTCCGATCATCGAAACGTACTTTAGACTATCACTAACCTTTGCCGAGCCTTCCCCTCGCCGCGGCGGACCGGTCGAAACGTCGAAGCCCAGGAAAATGGCTTCCCGCCTCTTAACCAGATCAGCGGCGGCGCGCCTAGTCTCCCAACTCCACCGCAAGACGCCAGGCACTACTCACCGCCCCCTCCTCACCCACGCCGCCGCCTTGGCGTCCCTCCTGGGGCCCACTGATGGCCTCCCCTACGCCGCTGACTCCACCCTCCTCCGCGTTCCCGTGCGGTGGTTCTCCTCTCCGTCCACGGAGGCGGTGGCGGAGGCTCCGATGACCGCTGATGGCCTGACGGTAGACTCGATCTCCGACAAGGGGTGGACCATTCTTCCCGAAGCCGAGAGCGACTGGCGCAGCCACGCCGCCGCCGTCGCGCAGTCCGTCAAGCTCATCAAGAAGCGCCTCAAGGTCCAATATTCACATGACACCCGATACTTAATGCTTTTCCGTACGCTGAATTGCCGATTTGCCTTCTATTGTTGCACAAGGATGTGCATCTTAGGTTCTTGATTCATCCAGGCATTTGAGCGAACACCTTATGTGTGGAGTGTGTTTATGCTCGCTCACTAGGCATTATTATCCTGCATGAATTGGGTATTGTTCTGATTTGTTCAGTGGGGATGGATACTTGAGAGAACGAAGCAATTGTCTGTGGTGTTGGAGAGGCCAGACCTCTGGGAAGATCCAGTTTTTGCTGGGAGGGTTAGCCGTGAGCAGGGTGAGCTCATGGGCAAGATTAAGTCAGTGAACCAGTTTGAGCAGGAATTGATTGAACACATTGAGATGCTACGGCTCGCACGCGAAGAAAACGATCATGAACTTGAGATGGTGAGTACAGTGCTCATTACATGATATAAAGCTTGAAATACAGTACAGATATATGTTCCATTCATTGCACAAACCATTTATCTGTTTCAACTATTATTTTAACTGTTTTGTGCAGGAAAGCATGAGGGCTTTAGCCGATATGAGAAGAAGTGCAAAGGAGAAAGAACTTAATGCGTTACTTTCTGGAGACAATGACTCTTGTTCTTGCTTCATTGAGGTTTATTTTCTGTACCATCTTACTCCTTCAATTTCATTATGTTTGTAAGAATTTTCAGCTTACTGCTCCATCTAGAGCACTTGTAGTATGCTCATCTTTTGCTTTCCTAATGAGGTTTTCAGTGGGTGATTCCTTATGACGATGGTTTCAGGTTCAGGCAGGGGCTGGCGGCACCGAGAGCATGGACTGGGCTGCAATGGTCATGAACATGTATAGGTCATGGGCCCAGCGACGAGGATATACAGTCACTGTGGTAGAAGAGATGCCTGGCGAAGTAGCAGGAATCAAGGTTATCTTTCTCACTAGTATGTGTTGCTGAACATACAGGCTTTTGCTATAAAAAAATCTATTCCATCTGAAGGAATTATTTTCTAATTTGAGTATTATTTAGAAAAAAGGAACTGATCTTAAACAGCTGCTATTTCCAGAGGGCCACTATCAAAGTTGATGGTGAATATGCATTTGGATATGCCAAAGCTGAAGTAGGAGTTCATAGATTGGTGCGAATTTCTCCATTTGACAGTGGAAAGCGACGTCACACTTCCTTTGCAGCTGTTGCTGTAATACCTATTCTTGGGGATGCTGCTAGCCGATACCAGATCAAAGATTCTGATCTTAGGATAGAACGTTTCCGTTCTGGTGGCCCTGGTGGTCAGCATGCCAACACTACAGAGAGTGCCATTCGAATTGTGCACATTCCAACTGGTATAAGTGCAACAAGTCAAAATGAAAGGTAAATTTGATGTTTTCTCCTTTGTACGTATTTCACAAGTTTATTCGTTTCTCATTATGGTAATTATTTTTTGATCCGTTCAGCATAAGTTGAAATATTTATTTCCCCTTAAATGATGGGTGTTATCAATCAGAAATAGTTCTATCGTTGAATGTTTATTTATAAACATAAATGTTAAAGCGCTGTACTCCTGATTGAGAAATGCAGATCACAACACATGAACAAGGCATCAGCAATGGCAGTGCTCCAATCTCGTCTTGATCAGCTTGAGATTGCTCGCCAAGCACAGATGAATGCAGAGCACACACAATCACTCAATGAAATCAGCTGGGGCAACCAAATAAGATCTTATGTTCTCCATGTAAGCTTTCCATTTAGAATACCAAATTAAACTATCAACTCTAGTTATGATAAAACTGTGACCTCTCAGTAGCATTATCTGTGTTCTCGGTGTTCCCTTTAAGCTACTAGTCTATGGTGTTAATCTTCTTATTTCTGTTTTGTTTACATACTCATCTCAGGATTTTTAAAAATTGAGAAAGAAGCTGCAAACTAATAATTACTTTCTGGTCCTTTATGGATACATTAATTACATGTTTTGATCTAAATTTTCTGACATAATCTTCCTAACTAATGAAGTTTTGAAAACAGAGAACATAAACTTTCTAGACAAATTATTATTTCTATTGTAATTTTTCTAATGATGAGCATTATTTCTATTGCAAATAATTGTTCTTGTTGCATTTTGTCAGCCATACCGTATGGTCAAAGATCTCCGGACGAACTATGAAGTATCTGACCCCAATTCAGTCCTAGAAGGAGAACTAGACGATTTCATCTTGAATTATTTGTCTTCATCACTGGATGAAGCTGATGTAAGTACCTGAACAAAAAAGTCATGCTCGGCCATTTTTCATGAGCTATCTGCCAAATCACTTGGCTTTTAAACAAACCAACTGAGACACTGCAGAAGAAGCGGTAGCAACTGGAGGTGCTGCTCCTGTCTTTTGTTTATTAGCGAATACAAAATTTAAGGTACGGGATAGTAGAAGGCTGCAAGTGCAAAAAATCAGAGTTAATTACACAGGATAAATGTTATAGTGTATCATGTAGACAAGGCAATATAATGAAAATATTTGCTAGATAGTCGAGATGTGATTAGTTTTCCTGTACTACCGTTACCGTTTGTGATGGATGTATAAAAAGCCATCTCTAGTTAATCTAGCTCTTCTTGACTGTAGCGACAGTGTTACACCCAACTAAGCTGAGGTGGTCTACAATAATTGATTATTTTCTCCAGTTCGTTTTACAGAGTATGCTTGTTTCGCTTTTTCCTAATTTTGTGCCAGGAAATTTAAAAAGGGTTACCACTATTGATGTAATGTCAAACCGTCTAATACTCAATCCATTTCAAATTATAAGATATTTTGACTTATCAAGATACATAGCTTTTACTATAGACTTGGATATACACTATGTCTAGAAAAAATCAAAACGTCTTGCAATTTGGAATGAACCAGCAGTAGATTATATTTTGAGCAGAAACTGTCTGACAATTCGACTTACAAGTTCCTGCCATTGCAAATTTGCCTAATCGCTTAGTTGTCGTGGTTGGTGACATGCGTGGATCCCATGTTTTATTGTGACATCGATGACAGTAACGGATTGTAAAATTTTGCAATGGGAAATAAGAAGTTGGGCCTTTTTGTGCACTTTGTGAAATATGATGGTGAACAATTTTTGTTTTCTCAATCAACAACTCAACATTAACCCCCCACACTCATTTTTTATTAGATTATAACGATTGTTCAATGTTCTGGTCTCCAGTATTAACATGTGAAAACACATTTTTTTTAGTACTAAGACCACATTTCACCTTACAGTGATAGACGGAATTTCAAGACATTACTCAAGGAAAAGAATCGAGCTGCTATCTTGCTACCATTTCGATCGTAGGTATGCAGAATTCATCATAACATAAGTTGCAACATTTTTTGATTTTGGCAATGAAAAACAAATTTGTGCGTAAAATTAAAAGGGTACGTTTTCTGGTAAGAACTAATTAAGAAGCTCTAAGTTTTAAAAAAACAAAATTCCTACTCCCTCAGTTCCAAATTATAGTACTATTTTAGTAGTCACAAGTTGGCAGCCCTGAACGTGCGATGCAAGAGCCGGCCGAGCTCCTCGTCGCCCGCGTCCAGCGGCCCGCCAGTGTCGTTCCGGACGCACCGCACGGCGGTGGTGTTGAGCGTCTTGAACCCATAAAGGTTCAGTATCTGGTCGTCGCCGAAGTTGAGAGCACGCTCCATTGAGCGCCGGCACCAAGCGGCGTCGTAGGTGGAGTCGTCCCCGCCGCACGGCTTGCACCCCATGAAGTGCGTCGTCAGCGGCCACCGGCCGGGCTCCGGCGGGGTCGTCGAATCCCGCCGCATCTCCTCGAACCTGTCCACGATGTAGGCCCAGAAGCCGCTGAGGCAGTAGGAGCTCTCGAGGAACGTCTTGTCGCCCCACCTGCCGCGCTCCGTCACGAGCAGGTATACGAGCGCCGATTGGTCGCAGGCCTCGTACGGCTACCGGTCGAAGAGCGTCTCGGAGATGACCCTGCCGTACATCTCGCGCACGGGGCCGTGCGGCCCATGCGCGCAAGCGCGTCGAGCAGGTCCAGCGACCAGTGGCAGTTGCGGATGATGAAGCTGCCGGCGTTGATGCCGATCCAGCTCTTGATGGTGTACACATTCTCCTCCGAGCCCGGGAGCACGAGGTTGTGGCCGGCGTACTTGTCCCACGGCGGCTCGAAGAGCATGTCGGTGAAATTCACGTCGGAGTCCACCCACCACAGGAGCTCCGTCTCCGGGTGCGCGAGCATCAGCGTCCGCAGCAGCGGCAGCTTGGACCAGAACCCCGACAGCTCGGTGTCGAGCACCGCGGTGTTGTAGAAGATGTCGAAGCCGTGGACGCGGCAGTAGTCCGCCTTGTTCTTGAACGCCCGGAGCAGCAAGTGTTCGCCGTCCGGGTCGCTGCACCGGCGCGGCGACGACCCGGTGACCACAAGCACCCGGGGCCTCCCCGGTGCGACAAAGGCCGGGAACCGCGGGCTATCGCGGAGCCACTGGGCGGTGGTGCTGGCGACGGTGGCGGCGGCGACGGCAGTGGCACTGGCTGTGCTAGCGGCCGCGGCTCATTTTTAGGTGCGATAGATAGAGCCTTGCGGCGGTCGAACTCGATGCGGATGCGGGGGATAAGGGCCAGGTCGGACGACCTAAACAAGAAGAGTGCGCACGGCGCGACGAGGAAGAGGAAGAAGACGGGGAGGACCAGAAGGGGGAGCAGATCGATGCTGCCGGGCTCGTCGGTCGGCCGCGACGGGTTGCTCCGTCATGGTCGACGATGGAATGGAAGGAGCTGCACCGTACCCTTGTTTGCTAACTTGCTGGTTTTACGCTGCACTGCACCTGCACTGTAGAGTGATGGAGATCTAGCAAACGTCACTGATTGCCCAGCCGCGACATGTATGGTATGATGATGAAGAGTGGACTTTCGAAGTTTGCGGGCGTCTCGGATTATAATGCACGCTTCATGGAGCTGGAATCCACGTATATGTCGGCCACGGAGGATAGACGATGCTGATTGACTGTCATAAGTTGAACTGAAGTATATTTTGAGAGAAGAACAACAAACACGAAGAACTGTATATTTTGAGAACTATTCAATCAGCATATGAAGTACTGTATATTTTGAGAGAAGAACAACTTGCTTAACGGGCTCCTACAAGGCCCATTGGCCACAATGGCTCCTACAAGTCTGCAATGCGAGATTCCGGCAGGTCAACCTATCACTGTTGTCTTGTTTGAGGAAATTTGAAACCCTGCACAGGTTTTAAAGCCGATGCACATGGGCAATCAATGCCACATAATCCTAGGAGGCATCGAGATTTAGACATCATGCTTTGGGAAACTGTCTGTCCAGTACAGTATTTTTTTCAATAGTGGCGGCGGCGTCTTCAACCGTGATACGTTGACTACTTCCTCCATTTCAAATTATTAGTCTATTTGACTTTTTTGATCCCTCTATTTTGCTATATATCTAGATATATTATTATATTTAGACGTATAGCAAAATAAATATACTAAAAAAAGTCAAAGCAACTTATAATTTAAAACAGAGTGAGTACTGGTCTTTACCATAGAATTTCTATAAAATCAAGGCTCCTTCCATATATAGCAAGAGATGATTTAGTTTGAGAAATTGTGTCCTCCGTCATCTTCTCACACTTCTTTTTTTTATACTAGTTTATTATGAAATAGAATTAGTTGATCCGTTACCATCATTTTTTAATGGAATTAGTTTAAGCAGGGATTGTTTTCCCACTGGAGCTCAAAAGAGAGAATAAATTTCTAGGTGCAACGCTTGCTGCACAATTTAGGAACTGCTCAAGGAATGCATATTTACAACGGTAATCAGCCTGTTCGGCTGGGCTGACTTGCTCGTAAATGATCGTAAATTTCCAGTCGGAACAGTATTTTTCTCTCACACAAATCAGCCAGCAGTACTTCCTCACGAACAAGCAACGAACAAGTCCAGCCAAACGAACAGCGCTAATGCTGGCCTGCTTCCTCTATATGCTCATATCCTTAAAAAATATCTCCCACTCTCGTGCTCAACCATCGCGTGCTGCTGCACCATGCTCTCGATACTGTCAATTTCCCCACCGCGCACTCCATCCCGCACCGCACGGCTCCACCGTCTAGTGTCGCACTCCATCCCGCGTCGTGCCCCCTCTATCACCACACCGCGCTCCATCCCCCGCTGCGCCCCATCCCCCCTCCCCCGGCGCGCGCGCCAAGGTGCTGTCGATGTCGCCGTTACCCACTAGAAGGTTGTGGCCGCCGCGAAGTGCGACCTCAGCAAGGAGATGTTGCGATGAAAACGCATGTTGCAAGTGTATGTTTCAAGTGTTTCAGACATTTCAGAGGTACGTTACAATTATTTCATATGGATGTTGCAAAAGTAGATTGGGGATGTTGCACATGCAAGTGCTTCCAAGGTTTGTTCAAAATATTTCATATGTTCTAGGCGTATGTTGCAAGTGTTTTGATCTGGATGTTGCATATGTTTCACACATATGTTGCAACAAAATGTTTCAGTTGTTTCAGTCTTATTTGGCAATAAGTGTTTTTATGTTACAAGTTACAGTGTTTTATCTAGATGTTGCATATGTTGCAAGTTATGTTCTAGATATTTTATCTGTTTTTCATATGCATATTGTATTCAAGTGTTTCATGTTACACGTGTTTCATGTTGTTCGAAGAGTGATGATGGTGGCACGGCATGGGCGCTGGGGAATGAGGCACTGGGGAATGGGGCACGACGAGTTGGGGGCCGACGGACGGGCGCACTGGGGGCTGGCGGTCAGGGCGCGACGGGGGTGGGGGTGCACATGCGGTGCGGGGCAAACGACCTCGAATCGAGGCAAATAGGGCAGGCTGCGTGTGCGAGGCAAGTCTTCGGACACGCGGACGCTGTGGTGGAGCGGGAAAAATCAACAGGCGGGAGCCGGCTGCACAAGCGTCCGGACACGTGTGTCCGTCAGGACGTTTGACGCTAGCACCGCCGTATTTACAAGCGCATATTGCGTGGGCCTAAGAATCGGTCGTCCGCTCCACAACTGCTACCGGCGCTATTAGCCATATATATTTGCGTCTGGCGGAGTGCAGAGGCGCTATTAGCCATATCTGTCTTCGCACAAACATACCAACGCCGACAGAGAGCTCCACTTTCTCTTAACCAATCTTCATTAGTGATTTTTGTGCTTGAAACTTGACAGCAGACGCTACGCCGACCTGACTGAAAATATTCCACTTCTTTCATAAGATAATTATTTTTGTGCGGACGGAGCTAAGAGGAATATTGAGAATTATTTCCGCATCCATTACGTACAAAAATCGATCTACAGGCAGTCCCAACACAGTGGTTTCTTACGATGAGAATACCACGTCAGCAATTTCATGAGTTGGCAAAGAGATTTAAGAGGATAGAGAATGAAATGTTTCTCTATGACCAAATTATATTGGCTCCAAAACCAAAGCACCAAGAAACTATAGTACTCCCTCCATCTAAGAAAGATTAACTATGGGATTCGTGCCAGTCAAACTAGTTCAAGTTTGACCAAATTTATAGTAAATAGTATTAATGTTTATGTCTCCAAACAAATTTATTATGAAAATATATCCTATAACGAATTCAACGATACTTATTTTGTATCATGAATGTTTACACTTTTTATATAAATTTAGTTAAAGTTTAAACTATTTGGCTTCTCGAAAAACGAAAAATTGCATTCTTCTGTGAACCGAGGAAGTACCTATTTTACCTTGAGGCTATAGACTCGTTTTCAACCGTGAGCCCCACTGACCTCCCAGGCGTCAAGGGGACCGCCGTGGCCATGCACGCCCGCCTGCCATTGCGAGTCATCTGCCTCGTTGCTCTGAGCCGAATTGCAATGAAAATGGCTTAGTCCCGAGTTTCTGGAATGTCCCGTGTGAATAATCAATTATAGCATGATGCATAGTCCACCGTTCCAAGCCCAACAACACATCATATCATCCTGTTTTTGTACCTATAAGGTCTACTCTTAGCTCTCGTTCTGCAATCTGTATCTTAAGATACGAACATTCCTAAATGAAGAATTCAAAGGTATTGATCCTAAATGGAGAATCAAAGGTATTGAATTTCTTAGAATATTTTTTTTATAGATAGAAACCACTAGCACTAGGACTGCTCGGTGTCACATTTTCAAAGAGCAAGTATCAAAACCGACAGGCAAAGTATATGGTTCCTAACTAGGGATGACAATGGGACTTCCTCGGTGGGGAGTGATACTCCGTCCCTATTTCTGATCTCTTTGATTTTCCCCGTTCCTTGGTCCTCGCCCCCAGCCCCTGTCTCAGTGCTGCATTTCTCCCGCCCCTGTCCCGGGTGGAGTTGTGAGGCCCCGATGGGTGTCGCACACCCGACTGTAAGTCGATGGCGTCTCTATAACACATCGGGTGTTTTAAATACTAAAACCTGCCATGTCATCATATGCATTGCAAATCATTTGGTCTTAGTGAAAACTTTGTTATGCATACACTAAAACAAGTTTACCTTTATGTTGTATGTGTTGACTTGTATGGTTTGAATCAAGTTCGAAATCTTGGTTTTAAATTGAATTTTCGAAAACATTAATTTCAGCATTTAATTCTACCCTGGAAAACCCCATTTCAAAATCTAAGCACATTTTGGGGTTGGGCCTAAAAGCAAAAGTGTAGAGCTTGTCAAGATGTACAAAGTTGATTTTTGGAGTTTTCAAAGTCGTTTTATAAAATTTGAAGTAATTCGAAAATGCGTAAATTCTCAAAGTGTCCCCTTTTTTATTTCAAACTTGCATTTCAAAATATAGACCGAATTTGGGAATGGTTATAAAAGAAAAGTTGTAGAACTTTAAATTTTGAACAACTTTTATTTTTGGAGATTTTTGAGTTGCCACATAAATTTGGGAGTAATTTGGGATTCAAATCGAATGGCAATTCTGTAAATATGGGGAACAGTAGCCGCCGAAGCCACCTCACCGCCGGCGGCCTTCTTCTGGTTTCCAGGCGCGCTCGTGGCCATCTTCGGCTCCACGCTAGCATGGGAAGACTCCTGCGTGGCTTCTCCTTGCTTCTGAGCCGCGCTATAAGGCCAATGCCGTCGCAGTTCGTCTCCGTTTCTCCTCCCCTGTTTTTCCCGACGCCACCGCCATTGCTCCGTCGAGCCTGTGCCGTCGCCGTAGTGCCTTTCCATTCGCAGCAAAGCCGTCATAGCTCTGCTTGCTCCTTGCGCAACCAGCCCACCAGCTTTTGAAGCTTTACTCAGCCGGGGAACAGCTGTGCACGCCTTTCTTCCTTGCGGCCGGCAGCATCGCCGTCGCGTGCGCTTCACCGTGGCCATCGCTCTACGGTGAGCCGCTGCTCTTGCGAAGCCTGGTTCCAGCTTCACCATGTTGCCATGATGCTCTGTGACCTCTTGATTGCTCCGATTATCCTTTGTAGTCGCCGGAACACCACCGTCGACGTTGCTCGCGCCGCCGTGGTTGCTGTGACAGTCGACCCGCTTCTCCGTTGATCCTTCGGTCCTTCTTTCTGTTCAATTGTGTTTGGGGTGAGCTGCTGAACCTTCCCATGCAGTTTGTTTAAGCTCTACCGGCCTTGTTTCGCCGGCGTAGCGCAGCCGCGTCGTCGTGGCCGCCATGGCCGGTGTCGAGCTCGTATTGTGCAGTAATTGGTGCAATTAGTGCTACTAGTAGGTGCGCCTCGTCGTGGGGAACATGTTGGTGCCTTCGCCGTCGCCGTTGATCTCACC